TAAGTATTGTCCGCGCACTCTAACTTGTCCGAGCCGAAGTTGACTTTTGTGCATGTAAAGTTGCTCAAAACGACTATAAATCAATAGCATGCTACAGACTATAAACTATAAATTTCTAGCGCGCTATTAAATACGCTATGCTATCGCGCGCTATTTATAAGGAAGCGTGTAGGAAGCCGGCAAGCGCGTTAAGTTTTGCAGTACGCTGAGGCCGACAAGCGCGTTAAGTTTTGCAGCACGCTATATCTCGTAGCACGTTACATTAGATGTCGTTCATTGGACAGACCGCGTGCTATATAAGAACATTATTTCGTAATAAGTCGCATTTTAGACTAAAATAAAATAAAGACTATAGAGATTTTCAGGCTTACGACTTTCTATAATCCTAAAAATATTTTTAAGGCAAGAAATAAAATTAATTAATTTTTATTATAATTGATGTAAACGTTATTTGAACCTGAATATAAATTATAAATCAAATAAAGGTGTTTTTAAAAGTTTATTGATTGTATTTATAAAAATCAAATATTTACATACACTATTATATGCACTTTTGTATCTATATTTTATTTACATTTAAAACATTAGTTAGGCTTCTTTTATAGCAGACAATTGTGTCCTTCGATCACTTATAAGTATACAGTATACACTAACTAAACAACGTCTAACACTAAATTAGGTCGCGCGCGATGAATAGCGTGCTACTAGATAAAATTTGCGTCACACGTCTTCTCCCAACAGCGCTGCTGCTAGAACTAGTTGCCTCTAGATATTAATACTTAATAGCGCCAAAGCGCCATAGCGCAATAGCGCCATGGCGACTACTTACATAGCACACCCTATGTGTTATGGAGCGATAGCGCGCTATAATATGGTGCTATGCGCTATATTAACCACCATTAATGTAAAGAAAGGCCAATAACAAGGGACGAGATGCAAGAAATTATCGAGGACGTAGTGACTCAATTCCAAAAGACAACGCGCATCACCATGTTGGACATCCTAGGTTCCGAACTGAAATCTTTGAAGGAGGAAATAGTGGATATGAAGGAGTCTATAAATTTCATGAATACCACAATGAATCTATCACAAAGGAGCATGCAGAGGCCAATGAAAAAATAAAACGCCTAGAGACAGAAAACGGTGCACTGCAGTCAAAGGTTGAGGACTTGTCTAATCGATTTAATCAAATGGAACTAAATGATAGAATGAATAACATTGAGATCCAATGTGTGCCCGAAAGGAAAGATGTGAACTTGTTGCACATCGTAACAGGACTAGGCAAAACAATAAATTGTCAAGTATCCACGGAACACTTAGCCCACTACACCCGTATTGCTAAACTACATAAAGACTCCAGCCGCCCTAGGTCTATTGTAGTGCAATTCAACTTGCCGAGTATGAGGAACAAATTCTTGGCAGCAGTGATCAAATATAATAAACTAAAGCCTCAGGAAAGATTAAACAGTTCTCACGCTGGTGTTTCCAGTGCTAAAACTCCAATTTTTATATGTGAACATCTCTCCACTCACAACAAGGCCCTCAATGCAGCAGCAAGACAGGCGGCAAAGGACAAAGGATATAAATATGTCTGGATGAGAGGCGGTCGCATTTTCATGAGGAAGACTGAAGACTCCGAATTTAAAATCATCAGAAACATAGAGAGACTTGACAAGTTGCCTTAGTTCCAAACCTAACTTTAATTTTTTTTTACAAAATTTTTGAATGTGGGGTACATTTATTACATATACATTTTATATTTTACTCATTTTAAAAGAGATAAGAATATATTACCAAAACGTTCGTGGGTTGCGTACGAAAACTCACAACTTTTTAAGGGAAGTCAGTTGTGATAATTATGATGTAATAGTTTTAACTGAAACCTGGCTTAACAGTAGCATAATGAGCAATGAGTTATTTGATGACAGATACGAGATATACAGAAGAGACCGGGAAAGTACGGGGTTTCATGAGAATAAGGATGGGGGAGGAGTCTTAGTTGCGGTACTAAAAACTATCAAATCGGTTCGAAAGTCTGAATGGGAAAGTATATGTGAAGACATTTGGGTGGTTTTGGATTTGAAAATTGAAAACTCTGTCCATCAAATAGCTATTTGAAGTGTTTACTTACCACCTCCGGTGAACAGACTAATATTGGAGTATTTTGTAGAAAATTGTACCACAGTCATAACAAGTAACTTTGATTCACACCTGTGCTTTATTGGTGATTTTAACTTAGGTAATATAAATTGTTATACCTAGTGCAAGCCAAGCTTTGATAGATTTAGTTCATTTTAACAAGCTTAATCAAATGAATAAAATTCTTAACAAATCAGACCGCTTGTTAGACCTTGTACTGACCAACCTATCATCATCCATGTGTACAGTAGCAGGATCAGTTAATATAGTGTCGTAGATCCTTTACATCCCCCTCTCGAAACATTAATGAAAATAAATACTGATATTTCACTACCGTATAACATCGAAATTAAAATACACAATTTTAGGAAAGCCGATTATATTTATTTATTTATTTACACTTTATTGCACCATAAAAAGATTACAAAGGGCGGACTTAATGCCATTAGGCATTCTCTCCCAGTCAACCCGGGACGTGTGGAAATTATGTGATAGGTGACAAAATAAAATGAACAATAGAGTAAATCAAGGAAAAAAACTACTGATAAACTTAAAAACAAACTAATATTATATATACAAATACAATAAACTTATATACTCCAAAATATAATACAGATAATATGTAATATATACATACATATTCATAGATACATAAATATATACATATTTTAAATACAAATAGATATATAATATAAACCTATAAATAAAATAACAACAAAGGTAACTAAAATTAACCATATATATTATACCTACTCAGATCCGCCTCCTTTGTTTAGCCGAATACAATGGAATGAAATGATTCATAACCCGAATGTTAATGAAATGACAAACTTATTTTATGATATAATTTCTTTTTTTTTTTGTAGGATACATATTAATAAATAAATATGTATCCTACAAAAAAAAAAGAAATAATTCTTCTCCTCCTTGGTTTAATGCTTCATTAAAGAGAATGTTACGTGAAAAGGATAACATAAGAAAGCGGTATAAAAAATATAGGAATCCCATGGACGAGGTTGAGCTGCGGCTACTTAATAAGCGGTGATGCACACTAGCAAATCAATCTTATAAAGTTTATATAAAGAAGACAGAAGATTGTATTAAGTCGAACCCTAAACTTTTTTGGTCATTTATCAAGGCAAAGAAGTGCGGGAAAAGTAATTATCCTTGTACAATGACTGATGGTAATAAGAAGTCATCCAGTCCTAGGGAAATTTGCGACTTCTTTGCATCCTACTTTGGAGCTGTGTATAATTCTCAAGAGAACATAAACTCAGAGTTGAATGGCAGCCAATGGAATTTGATTTGCAATTACAACCTCGAACTAACTGCTCCCTACCTTAGCAAGGATCAGATACTGAAGAGCATGAAGTCCCTAGACCATAATAAGGGCCCAGGATCAGATTGTGTCCCTCCTTTATTCATTAAGGCATGTGCGAATGAGCTAGTGACGCCTACATATCTAATTTTTAAGAAGTCTCTTCAATCCAGCCTAGTTGTACACATTTACAAGGCCGATAACTTCGAGGTGGTTGGTAGTTATAGGCCTATTTCAATACTCCCAACTTTAAGTAAAATATTTGAATCTCTTGTCTATCCTGTGCTGTAGAACCACTGGAATCATTATCTTACTGAGTGGCAGCACGGTTTTGTTAGATTTATGTCAACCTGTACCAATCTGACCTTGTTTACCGAAACTTTGGTAGAAGCAGTAAATGACAGTAGGGATGTTGATGTAATATATATAGACCTTAGTAAGGCATTCGACAAAGTATCTCATAATATTCTTATATCTAAATTGCGTGCATATGGTATTACCGGTTCATTATTGGGATGGTTACAGTCGTATCTGGATAATCTTAGTTTAAGCGTGGTCGTTCTGCACAATACAAAATAACGTCGGGGGTTCCTCAGGGATCACATTTGGGTCCTTTGCTTTTCAACACCTTCATCAATGACATCCCTAGTTGCTTTCAGTTCTCCATGCCATTTATGTATGCCGATGATTTGAAATTGGTTGGCATCTGCAAAACTGTAGAGGACATCGAACAGTTTCAAAGTGATGTTGACCGTATGGTAAATTGGTGTCGAGTTAAAGGTACGTACCTGAACATAAACAAGTGCTATCATATGAAATTCAGTAGAAAGATCAAGTCAATGAACTCATCATACAAAATTAATGGCGACATCATTAAGAAAACAGAGGAAGTTAGAGACCTGGGAATAGTGTTCGATTAAAAATTAACCTTCGTTCCGCATATTGAGAATATTACAAAAAGGGCGTATAGAACGCTAGGCTTTGTTTTGCGTAACGCTAAAGTGTTTAAAAATAATCACATTAAGATCCTACTGTACAACAGCCTCGTACGAAGCATACTTGAGTATTGCATTGTAGTGTGGAGGCCACATTATGCGACACACTCCTTACGATTGGAATGTCTGCAAAATAAGTTCGTAGCAAATTTGGCCTATTAGAATGGGATTTACAAAAAAATTCGGTCTTACGAAAAACGATTAAGATTCTTTAAAATTTTATCCCTGGAAAATCGGAAAAATTTGCTTGACCTGTCATTTCTTGTTCCATTGAGAATTCCTCGCGCTCCCATTACTCCTTAGATGCAAACTACCCAATTCCAAGGTTGTGCAAATTGGTCAATGGACATAGTGACAAAGTTGACATTCACGCCGACTCATTTGCCAAAATTAAGAAAGTTCTAGCTGTACCCTGATCTGAAACCAACAAATAATAATAGTTTTTTTACCATATACTTATTTTCATTATTAGGTAATTATACTTCTTTTTACTCGTATTTACAATCTTTCTCGATGCTTGTGGTGTTTGCCTTAACGTAAGTTAGTTCTTAAGCCATTTTACAGTACACAGTACATAATACAGTGTAATCAAACATTGGTAAACCTTAATAAATAAAAAATACCAATTATTTAAAAGTATTATTTTAATAAAAATATCTTTATATATTTTAATAAAATAATAGTATATCTAAATCTAATAAAGAACTACGATGAATATTTCGAATATATAATAAATACATGATATTAACGGGGACAAAAAATTCTTTCAGTAGCCCCAAAATAATATAATTACAATATTGTTAAATAGTCACATTTATACGAATGCATTAATTTTTTACTTACGTATTGTGTTAAGATATGTAAATATAATATGGATATTTATGAATTTACTTGCGATATAATATCGTAATATATTTTGTTAAATATAATGTGTATTGACTGACTGGTAGAGAATGCCTTTAGGCATTAAGCTCACTCATTGTATCTTTTTTTTCTAATGGAATGTAATAAAAATTTAAATTTAAAAATATAATAAATCATTGACTGTACTTAAAACGATATGTTAAATTTACACACCAATGAACAATAAAAAAACATGTGTGAAGTTCACAGGCGACAGAAGTAAAACTTTTTGTGAATTGTGAGAAAAATAGCTTTGTATAGCATAAAATCTACTTCATTTAACCCTTTAACGCGCAAGTAATTTTTTTTTTCGTAATTTAATAGTTCTTGTACAAAAAATATATTTCACATAATAACAATGTCCATAAAAATAATAAAAAAATATTTTGAAAAACTGTTTTTGAGAAAACATATGTTAATTATACTCAACATCACGAAAGATATAAAGAATTAAAGGTATGTAGAGACGTTAAGTATTTTCAACATTGCTCTTTTATGGATGATCAAAAATAAAGCGAATACATTAAAATAAAAAGTTTACTGTTTTACATGGAAGTTATAGAAACAATTTCTCTTACTCACTAAGCATAGTCTCAAAGAACATTTGGTACATTGCATATTTGTGAAACCGTTTTTACAAAATTTGCACCTACCATAGGGAACAAATACTGGCAAATGCCCAGTGTTATCGTATCGTACAGCATCAGGTGGTCTCGGAGCAGATGGTAATTGAATTTGGGCAGCAGCAATATTTTCCTTATTCGTGTCTTTGGGAACTCTATTTTTTTTCAATAGTTCTGTGCATACATTAATCCGGAACTTTTTTAATGGCATGCATTTACTGAGTGATATATTGTTATCTCTTTTGTATAACAGCCATGCATTATTGACACATATGTCTATGGCTTGCGAAAATATAGCCATGTACCACCTCTTGGTTTTGAAAGAACTGCGATAAATTGCGATTAACATATCGGCCAGGTCGACGCCCCCCATGTGCAAGTTATATTGTTTTATTATTTGAGGACAATCAACTTCTGCCCTTGTCTTAGTATCTTTCGAATAACGCTTGATTTTTTCAATAGGGTGCGAATCCACAAATGAACTAGCAAGGGTAACAGTTTTATTGTCATGCCATTTTATAACAGCAATTTTATTTTTATTGCAAACCACTTGCTTGCTTGAACCCCTTCCTTTTTTTGCCAAATTTTTATCTGTAGGTAGTTTATCTTCACATCCTCTCAGTCTATTGCTTCTAATTGTGCCCAAGCTGAATAATCCGTACTCGTCACGTAAAAGATGTATCAATTCAAGTGACGTAAAAAAATTATCAAAGTATAAAATTGCAGGTCTTTTCTGTATAGTCTTCGCCAGAGCCAGAACCACTTTAGCCCCTAAGCCAAGGCTGTTTTCATACTCGTTAAATGACATGCCCCTAAAAGTATCGTCACCACCGTATGGCAAAAAATCATATACTAGTCCCGAAACTCCTGCTCGTATAAACATTTTGAAGCCCCATTTTTTGGGTTTTTTTGGCAGATACTGCCGGCGGCTGCCTGCCCTAGTGCCTTTATAGGGTACCATCATTTCATCGATGCTGTACCTTCCTTCTTCTTCAACTAATAGGCAGTTTTGTCTTATTTTCTCGAGGATGGGACGTATTTTATAGTAACGGTCATCATTTGCATCGATATTATTCGAAAAATGGAGGTATTTTCTAATTTGTTCATACTTTTTCAGGGGCATGACATCGGCAATAGGTGCATATCTTAACGTTTGACTCCAATAGTCCCTGTAAGATGGCATTTTCACTACTCCCATTAAAATGGTTATGCCGAGAAAGTCACGAATATCATCTTTGGATATATTTATGCCTTTCGCTTGCCCCCCTCCACATTGTACAGCATATAAATTTGTTTGATCCACTATTAGATCTATAATATCTTGCGAAAAAAAAGAATAAAAGTAGTCAAGAGGAGATTTAGTATCGGTAGGTGTGCTGAATTGAAACAGGTCTTCAACAGTTCCTGCATATTTAAATTTACCTTTTGTCCATATGAAATTAAGAGGTTTGCGGATATATTTTTTTACCTTTTTTGTTACTAATTTCGGTCTATTGATAGCTTTCCTTTTATTTGATCTTGTATTTTCCGGAAGTGCAGATAAAAGTGGCGAATTTAATGTAGGTAAGGTATGTAGTAACTCTGACCCCGGTCTAAATATCTCATTCATAAGTGGAGTCAATGGGACTGTATCTTCTTCGTAAGGAGATATGGGAGATTCTGGATTTTGTTGGATATTGGAGTTACTATTATCAGATAGATCGTCCAGGATATTTAACCTTTCTAAAGAAGACTCTATTGATTTTGGCTCGGAACTAAAATCAGATAAGTCATTCGTCTCAACGTGATCTAGTAATTTAGGAACCTGGTCTTCATCTTCTGAAGTATTGCTACTATCAGAAGGGGCGCATGCAGGAGGCACCAAAGCCATAATACGCCTAGTCCGCTCCCATTGTGGTTTTACCTTCAATAACCAAAAAAAGTATGCAAAACCCAAATAACCAAGCAAATACACTTAAAGAAGTTCGCATAATTTCAAACAAACCCAAATGCATTACATTTAAAACAATAACCATTAAAAAGATAGCTATTAAAAACCATAACTCATTACCAAAAAAAAACACAAACATAAAAAACACCATATAAAACAGCATTAATGTTACTCTATGTGTCGGGCAACGCTGAGTATTCTTAACGTACCCAGTTATATGTACTTTAGTCTATGTCTCGTAACGTTAAAAATACTCAACATGCATCAAACGCTTGTTTTATTTCATTAGTAAATGCAGTTGGGGATGCAATAATAAGATGAAAACAAAGGTTAGTTATTTGCAAACACAATTATAGCAAAATAAATGTACAAATCTTATGGCAATCGCGAAATTCAGAAATAAATTACCTTAAGGTCACGCATTGCTGCTGCACCCGACGCCATTTTGCGGCTAAGTATCAAATTTTGACGTGTGACGTGTGAGATACTTTTTTTTAGCTTGTCAGTTTGTTTGCCTCTCCGATTGTAAAGTGTTACCATATAAATAATCAACAATTTCTAACAAATAAATATTTTTATTAATAGTTGAGTATAATTAACACTGCGAATTAAAGGGTTAATAGGTAAAGTCAAGTTATTTATCGAACAAAATTGATTGGTTCAAGGTAGTACGTCAAATACTACTAATTTAATATAAATCGGGAAGTTACAAAATCGTGGATGGTTGTGAATGGACTGATTAAGATAATTTTATTCAATATATATTGAATTAATATTAATTATTATTGTTAATCTTATTTATTTAATAAAATAGTAAATTTTTTATTTTATAAGTTATATTCCTCATCCATCCAATCGGTGCTTTACCGCACAAAGCGGAGACCGAGATAAAATGAAACTATATAATGTATTCTATCTCATGCTCTCGCAGGTGGAATCCAATATATATATATATCCAATATAATATATATATATATATATATATATATATATATATATATATATATATATATATATATATCTTATTAGTGCCACTTTTACGTTTCATCGAGTTTCAAATCACTATTCTAAAAAGTTTTCACTTCAATAAAATATAAAATAAAATCGAGTCGTAATCGATAATAATGGTAATCGATTCTACGTAACATTTTTAATCAATGGTAATTCTAACCGCGCAAAAAAAACACACTACTGTATACTTCAATACAAATGCAAAATTGAATCGCGTCACTATACACGCACACTACAGCATTTGTGTTTGTGTTCATTGCATTTACGCATACTATCAAATTGTACAAGTCTGGATACACTGGCGCCGTTGTCCACATGCGTATGCAACGTAGGACGTGGACTATGTCGATAATTTTTATCGATAAACAAATCACCATAGTCCGCAAATGTTTTCATTTGATTATAATTAATACCTAGATAAATAATACCAAGATAATAATACCAAAATTATTTTTTTAAATTATTTAAAAATGATCTTCGGAAAAAAAACTTTGAATTTATTGAAAGTAAGTTTATTATTTTGCTACAATTTTATTTTACATTATGCAGGATAAAATCTAAAACATGTAACAAATTGAAATGGGAGGTTTAGTTAACTTATTTTAAAAATCAATTTGTAAAAAGAAAAGTCGTGTCAGTTTATCGTCTTAGATGGTGATTACCAAGTTTTTATTTTTATTATAAGGCTTCAATCACAAAACCGCTATTTAAAAAAAGTTGTTGATTTTTAAGAGTTATTAAATGAACTATCTGGAAAATATTTAATAAATTAAGAAAATAAAGTAGGTTTATAAAATATAATAGTTGAACAATGTGAACTTTAAACAGACAGCTGCTTAAAAATAAAACATGACATGTACCTAGGGCTAAGTATTGCCCAGAAAGATGTTTTGCTTTATCTTTACATTACTATTCACTAAAAGCTTAACGATATGTGCAAAATATAAAAGTTTTGAAATTTGTCTGCCTTCATCAAGTACTATAACATATACCACTGTATAGTAAAATTGATGACAGAATTGGCTACACAAAAAAAGCGTTAACGGTTTTAAAACTTGGACTAGAGAGTAACCCCGACAAGAAATTGTATTTTATATTAGTGATAGATGAAATGAAAATAAAACAATTGACGGAGTACCATGCAAGTTCTAAAAGACATTTCGGTTATGTTAATTATGGATTTGACTTCATTTCTGACCATTCGGAGAACGCTACTGATGCTTTTGCATTTTCATTAATGGGCATTAACACTTCTTGTAAAGTACCCATTGGGTACTTCTTGGTAAAGGGTACAAGTGCTGACCTAAAAGCATGGCTGGTGACCCAAGCTTTACACGTAGTTCATGAAACCTAAGGTTTAAGAGTTAGGCTGTTGCTTGAATACAGAAAATTTACAGATTACTATATTAGATCCACGTACAGGACACAAAAAATTTACACCTATTTGTCACCTTTTGGCGAAAAAGTGGTCGAATATATAGCGGGCTTTGCTGTTTTTACTATAATAAAAAAAATAAGTGTAGCAATGCATAAGAGCTCTTCTGGGGGCACCGGACAAAAGTAGTTTAATTAATCTGAGAAGTAGAGGTGGCTTATTGTTTGCACTTAGAGGTAATTAATTTGTGTCGCCTTTGTGAAATAGATATAAGAAAAAACTTAACTCCTGACAATAAATTTAAGCAGTCTATATTTATTAAAAATAAAATATTTAAACTTTTTGTTGGAAGGCTTTAATTTTTAAGTATACAGGAACATTATTTCGATAATTTACGTTCTATATAACATTGAACTGGCAAATTTGGTAATAGAAAAATATACAAGAATTAGTTACCTTGCAAAAAGAGTGATCCTAAAAGATCACATTAAACTACATACTTAGCGTGTAATAATTATGTAGTAACCTACTGGTTTTTGAGGTGGACACGCTTAGTGTAAATATGACGGATACATTTTTCCGGGTCGTTTCTTTTAGACAGATAATGGATTCTGATATTACTATACTTCTCTATCACTACTTTCGCTAATTCTATATTATGCGTAACATATTCATTATCAGAATAATGTTCCGCTACTCTTGAAAATAATTGTTTACCAATAAAGTGGTTTAGTGTTTTTGAAACTTAGTAGTACGTAGTACTTAGACAGCTTACTTTTTTGTCAGCAGTAAAAAAAAATCGAATTTCTATCTCGCACCGGCGACATAAATCAATAACTTCTTGGGATGCGTACATTAAACCTTCCCTAGATTTTTGATAAGTCAAACGTAAAAACAAACCAATAATAGAATAATTTACTACTTTCTGTAACACTTTATTATAAAATCTAAATAAAAACTACAAACCGGTTCGACAGACAAACCCGCATGGTTAATTAACTTATCGGTAGCTAAATTTGTGGCGTAGATCACTCTAATGCAATACTTTGGGTTGCAGTGATACCAGTTTTTATAAAAATTGCACACTTTTGCTGCGAGGTAGCAAGTTTCGATTTGACTTATTTGGCATTTTTTTTGTATAATATTTTGATAAATACCAGTTATCGATTATAGTAAATTATATAATATTCAGAATCGTGTTGAAATTGAGCTGTGAAATCATTTAACAAAATCCACTTCACATCTATATGTAATGATTATTATTCATCAAAAACCGATTTAGTTATTACGAAATACATTTTCATTAATAAATTAAATTTAACTTGTGTAGTAAATTATATTTATTTAAAAATAGATTGTGTTTCAGTTTATGAAATATGATGGCAACACTTGGTATTTGACGAAAATATTCAGAAAGTACAAGTTTTAAAGATAATGTTACTTTAATATTATGTTAAAAATACTCCCAGATGAAGTCACGTTGTCCTTTTGTAGATTTGACGTTTTTGGTTGTTTTTTGCATGTAAATACACTGCAATTCGGCATTTTGTCGGAGCTCGATTTACTGGCACTGGTGGAGCCACGTGTCTAAGGCTGCCGAAGTCTAGTTCCCCGGTCGAACCTTAAACCTATTACGCGAATTATTTATCTAAGTGGACTGTATCTACTAAATGCTTCTATGCTTATATAACGACGACTATAGCGCGCGGTACAATGCACTAGCTCTTCCCTTAAATGAACAATTATTTGCCAAATCGATGAAAGGAATCCTGCTTGATTAGGAAAACACAAAATTGGAGCGGGTTAAATCACTTATATCAAGCAGGCTATACTATTAGGAAAATGTTGACTCACCGGGATGTTTCTTCTTTGCGGTCGAGCACTATAACTGCGACTTCTGGAACCTCTTCTGGACAGACACTCTGGGGCCCCAGAGATACGTCGGGAGAGAATCGGTGTGGTTTCAACGGCGAGCGCGGCGGGAAGAGGCTGCGCGTCGGTCGCGCGTGCTTTATATATCCTCGGTTCCGATGATTACGTGATGTTCTAGAATCATCTTCTTTCCCCTCCCACCCCACCACCTCGATGTGTCGATAGGAGGGTATGAATAATATCGTTTTGGAAAGGGATAACCGACTTGGCACCTACCGTCAAATATAAAATAAATACGAACGGTTTTCCGCGCAACCATCTCCCCCGCCTTTGAAGGATTTCCTTCAAAATTAACTAAAACAACTAGAGCTAAGATCAACTAACAAATAACTAACTAACGCTAAGATTACCTAAATTCAACTACAATTTTTTATCTAGAAAGCTAATTTTAATTATGGAAGAGGCAAGGGGCACAAACGGACAACAGGACGCAGGTAAGACCCAACCGTGGTCTTAACGCGAGCTATCCTAATTACTCCGTCGGAACCGGGAAAGACCTCTTCGACAATTCCTAACGGCCAGTGGAGAGGTGGCGCATTCTCCTTAGTGAGCACAACTACAGTTCCTACAGCTAAAGGCTCAGTCGCTGTGTTCCATTTTTGCCGAGACTGCAAAGTATGCAAGTATTCCAACCTCCATCGTTTCCAAAACGATTGCACTAACCGGTCTAATAATTTGTGGCGTGCGGAAATGCTAAGTCTGTTCTCATCCATATCTGCGGCGGGCAGATACCTTAAAGGCGTTAAATTCAAAAAATGTACTGGAGTTAGAGCCAGCGGTTCCGAGGGGTCACTAGACAACGTCCGACAAAGTGGGCGGCTATTCATTACGCATTCAATTTGAGTGAGCACCGTACTTAGGTCTTTGAAGGACAAAATTTGATCTCCTATTACTCGGTATAAGTGGCTCTTTAGACTCTTAATATTAGTCTCCCAATTGCCCTCAAAATGACTCGCGGCTGGGACGTTCAGAGACCACTCAATGCGGTTCTCGGCTAGAATGTGAGCGAACTCCGAATTATAATACTTGCTAGCTAAGAGCTCATGTAGTTCCGATAGAATACGTTTTGCACCGACGTAGTTCGTACCGTTATCCGAATATAATTTACTTACAGGGCCTCTGCGGG